GGGTAGCCCGGGAAGATCCTGGGCTCCAAAAAGGAGCGAGCCTGCTAGAAGTCACAGAATAGCAATAGGAGGAATGGGGGAAAAACTTCAAGTCCATTTCCCTCCTTGATGAAATTTTGAAATTTTTGTGAGGGCACTAGCTTGGTATGGCAGGTAGGAGGTTAAATGAGTTTCTCCTGAACCAGCTTCCTCATGCATAGTTATTAACTTGTGTATTGAATCTGGATACCAAATTTCTTAAATATAAATGCTCATATGAAATAGACTTTTTCAGTCTGGGACCCAGTTGAGGATACAATTCTAAAGTTCCTGAGGATACCCTTAACATTATTTAATCATAGTTATTTCATATTTCCTAAGATCTGATAATCCCTCATCAAATTATTAGTAGTTAATATGCCCGGGTTGCATTACTTTTCTCTTTTCCACATCAGCCAGCCATTTCAGGCCTCCAAATAAGGCAGTGAAACAAAGGAGAATTTGTCTATGTCAAAGTATTCAATTTTATAGCTGATTTAAATGCAGAGCAATTTGCTGCATGTTGTACAATCAAATAGAGTGGAATTTAACTGCTCTGGAAGTTGTGGATTTTATGTTGCCTCTAAAAAGTCTTCAGCTGTCGTCTGAATCGAGGATGACACCCAGTGGCCAGACAACTTCATTCAAAAGCAGAAGCACCCAACTCTTTCCGTTTCTGTGTGCCGCAGCCCACACGTAAGTGGATGATTAAATTCCAATCCGGCTGTTCCCCTTTTGTCATTTAGACTGTCTGAAATACTGTTTTTGGCTCATGGCCAATACTATGTGAGTCACTACCCACCTGTATAGATTTTCTAATTTGTCTCGTCCTTCATATTTTCTTCAAGTTATTGGCTAGGTAGTTATTTTTTGTATCAGAGTAATGTATTTTAATATTAAATGTACGTTCAGGCTGTAATTTGGAGATACAGACTTAGACTGCCAAGTGCCTTTGCTTGTTACTGACAGGATGGGGCAAAAAGGACTTAGGTGCTTGCTCCGTGTCTTTGCTGAAAATTGAAGGTGTTATTCCAAAATGTTAATCCTAAATTCCCAAGTCCAGCTACCACCCATCATCAAAGGCATTTTCGTGCCCTGGTTTCCGTGAGCGCGCTTTTCTGTGCCCAAAGCTTTGCACTGTTATCGGCGTAAGGGAACGGGCACTCAGTTTGTAGCTGTGCCCTAGAAACCAGGTTCTTCTCCAGGCAGTGCCCACATCTGTGGCTCCAAGGGGCGTTCCCAGAGCTAGTCCCTGGACTAGACACAAGGCAACGCTTATTTGCGGCTGCTTTCTTTTAAAATGCAACTGGAGGAAGAGGTATTAATTTATTTAATAGCCTTCCTAGCATGAGGAAAGGCCTTGCCTAAGCCACTTTCTGCTTGGAGTCTGTAGACCAAGGTTGTGGCAGCGTCCTACGCGCAAACTGAGGCAACCTAAGACTGATGGTGTTCAGTTATGCCGTGTTGTATCCAGCACACAAAAAGTCAATGCTGCTGCCACTTTCCTTCTTTACGTACCTGTAAGCTTCCTGCAAGTTTTTCCTGCCTCGGTAATTTGCTAGATGAGAAGGTCACTTATGCACGAGAGCAGGGTTGGATCCTCAGGCCTGATGGTGGGAAGACCAAAGCTATGAAGACAAAGGTCCTCCTGTCCCCTGATTTGTTCTGTGCTCCCTGGCATCACCTGGGGATGCTGGTTACTTGGCGGTGGATTCGTTAATTCACTGCAAGGGCCATGGGTCTAAAACTTACATGTTGTAACCATCATCATTAACGTCTTTACCCAAATGTGTCAGGCAGTTTTTTGCTAGGCCTCCATCTTTCTTCCTTTAGTAGTAAAACTGCATAAATCTGACATAGATGGACCCAATATATCTCTCTTCTCACATGATCTCAGCTCCCTTGAGGTCTTTTTTTATACCAAAAGAGCTTTTTTAATACCTGCTCTATATATCATGAGGCAATCTATTCTTGGCTAATTATGCCAGGGTGATGCCTCCATGGGAGGATTTCAAATAGAAAAGGCCTGGTCACAGCAAAAGTATGAAATAGTACTGAAACTGTTTGGCTAGTTGCTGCCTTGCCTGATCCTCTGTCGCAGACTGTCTGTGTGAACTCAGTTATGTCGCAGAGGGGATATTTTCCAAGACACAAATAGCACTAAGGTGTCCAACTAATGCTGAAAATCAGTGCAGCTTGCCTTTTGTATCCTGAAAAAGCTTCTCTTTCTTTTTTTCTATTCCTCACTTTTTCCATTTATATAAAGAAGGATAATTAAAATTTAGCAAGCAGGCTGGCTATAAAGAAATGTGAATGTTTGTAAGCATGTGGGATAGAAGGCAGTGTAGAAGTTAGGTATTTGCACTCAAGTATCTGCGATTATAATTGCACGGTGAGTTTAACTCTGCTGTCAGCTGGCATAAGGGTTGGGAGGGGGGAAAACTTGCTGGGCCCTGAGATGGTGGGGGGGGGGGGGGCGGGGGAACAGACCTAGCTGAATCCCTATAATAAAAAGTAAGGCACAATTTAAAAAGATGAAAGGGAAGTAAATGTATGTAAAGCAGCCAGGAGAATAATAGATAAGCCTTAGCAGAGGATTTAATGAAAATTGTACTCCGACTAGTGTTTAAATTGAAAGGATTTATCAGGACTTAACTTCAGCACAGACTAGCAGCAGGTAGAGTTTAAAAATAAAAACTTTGTGTGATGTGGAGAAATGCTGTGTGTGCTATATGTCCAAAGAGCATGCCAGCTTTTATAGCAGGATAAAAAAGAATCAAAGAACAACACCCAAAAAGATAACTATTTCATGCTAGCTTTGAGAAACACAGGGAATCTTCAAACAAATTCTTTGTAGACAGAGGTGAGAAATCAGCCTTTTCTTTTAGATCAGTTTCCTTTTTGACTTACGATCCCAATGAAAATGCTAGAGCACGTTGTTCTGATACGTGAACTCTTACATTGGTATAAAACACACAAAAATAAGATATCCAAGCTGCCTGGCATCTCCACCTTCTCCTTTTCCCAGAAGCCCTGCATACAGCAGCTCCAGTGACAGATCCTATTTGCTCAGGATTTTTTATTTTGCAAGTGACTACTTGATTCCTTCCTGGGCTGGTAGCTCCTGTTGAGCTTTCCTCTAGCTATTCTCTTGCTTACTGAGGAAACACCATGTTATTCCATTTGGCATTAGAGCCGCATAGTCCCCAAACTAAATGGCTGAAGCTTCTGTGAAATTACTGAAAATAATATAGTATGATTTTTGCTGGGATGAGAGGACAGTCACAAAAAGGTTGTGTATGTATATGTATATTTGTGTGTATGTGTTCATATATAGTGTGTATATACATAGAGTAGATATAGTGTGTATAGACAGTAGATATTTGTCTGCTATACTGGAAAGAACTAGATTTGCTCTTGGTTAAAATGCTTCTAGGAACCACGATGGTCAAATTTTCACTGACCTTAACTTTCTTTGGAGTCTACCAGATCTGCATAGCTCAGCTTTTCTGAAAATTATATCAGATCAGAGCACTCTGGCAAAGGAGAGAATCTGCAGAAGCAAGAGAGGGCTTCCAGGAAGCTGCACTGAATGGAGCAAGGTCAAAAGTTAGTGGTCACAGATAAAAGCATACAAATTTGCAGAAGGATTTGTCACTGGTCCTAGCACGCTCAAATTGTTCAGTAATATATCGGTCAGCTATCTGTGGCATGCAATACTTGTCTCTGGAGTGCATAAAGTATCCCATATCAAGGTAAAAATGAACTGTTTCTTTGCCAAGGAGATGAGAGCAATTTAGCTCCTTAAGCTAATTTAAAAACCAAAAGTTAAAACCTCCCCTGGGAAGAGACTGTTTAGGAATAAAGGCATTGGCTAATTAGGCTTAATTGCATTGTCTTGGGACAAGTGATTTATTAGGCCAATCTAGGCCCATGATGGGCCTGCAGGGCTGTGTTCTCGGGTTCACCAACTGAATGGCAAATATCCAAGAGCATCTTTTAACTTTAGAGAGAGTCTCTGGGAGAAAAAAAAAAAAGTGAGGTTAATGTGCATTCACCTATTCCCATATCATCTATCCCCATTCTCCTCTTTTCGGCTTTTGCGCATCCTTTTATGTCACTCCCATGCCTATGATTGTCTCCGTGTTTTGTGCCAAGCATCTGCTCCCCCTTTTTCTTCAAATTCTCCCCTATAATGAAGCTATTTCTTCAAGCAATATTGCTTATTTTGTCATGATAAATAATCCTTTCATTCTCTCCTCTCTGAAGGTGTTCCTCTGTTTTATCACCTTTGTCTTGGTCTTTGAAACAGGAACTGCATGTCTCCTTGTAAACTCATGGGGTTATGTACTAGTAAATTTGTTGTATATTAAGCTGCATTACCTTTGAGATAGTGTGCGTGTGAAAGTAATGGCTAATGTCCTATTTTCTTTCCTTTTGTGTCCTCCTATGCTCCGTAGACATTTAATTTTAGTTTTGATCACTCAAAATGGAGTATGTGGAAAATCGGAGACATGTTTCCTCTAAAATTTCTCAAGTATGTAAAATACTGGTTTTAAAAAGCATGGACTGATTCCTGCTTTTGACACCTGTTATCAAGGCATTCCTTTGTGTTTTTAACCTGCAGGCCTGGATTAACCCATGGGAGAGAAGGAAGAGGCCTCAGAGCCTTTGCAGTCACCAGCCATGGTAGCACTGAAGCGGATGCACAGCTGAACCATTAAGACAGTTTTTTCCTGTTTCAGTATTGTCCCATACCTCCCTGCCTTTACTTACCTTCTTGTAATCAAAAAGAGGAAGATTGCTAAAGATAGCAAAGAAATAGTACTCAAATTGCAACTAAAACCTAGACAAAACCTGTATGTAGAGATAAGCAAGCAAACAAAGCACTTAGCTTCAATGAGTCAAATCTGTCTTCTCTAGAACAAAATTTATAGCGTCGGTGTGTTTAGTGGCAGACATCCTGAGGACAGATTTGGGGATTTTGCATATGCTTAAATCTTTGCCCTGTGACTTGCTCTTTCATATGTTCACACCAACAGTGGGAACAAACGTATCACTTCAAAGAGTGCTTCTTCTCATAGACTCTTTTTTAGTCTGAGGCTGGTCACTTTTTTTTTTTGTTGAGTTTGGTAATGTTACCAAGCCCATGCAGCTCCAGGAGGTACCCAGACCTCCTGGCCAGTTTACCTAGCTAGGTCTTATCAGCCTACCTGATACTTGCTGTCTCCAGAACTAGCTTATATGACAGGGTCAATTCAAATTTCTTGTGCACCTCTCCTTCTGGATCATGCTGGCAGGACATAAAACTGTTCAGAGTCTGCCACTGCCTCTTCCTACTCCTACCCTTGGAAATGCGAGGGTGGTTGGCCTACATTTCTCACGGTCACGGTTTCCCTAACTGCAGCCTGCAGCTTTTCTCATCAGCTGGTGTAAGACACAATTGTTTGAATACATGAAAGGCACAATAGGCTTAGCCTGTTGGAAAGGTGAATGTAGCCTGGGGGTAGTTCTTACGTCCTGGTTAACTAGCAAGGAAGAGATCCCAGGGCTCTCCTCCGAGTCGGCGCGGCTGCAGAGATTTTTTGCCACTTAAAGACTTACGTTGTTAGCTGCATGCTCTTTGTGCCTCAGTTTTCTGCTTTTAAGTGGGAGGTAGTTTTGAAAGCGCCTCTCTGCTGCGCCTTGGGTTTGCC